TGAAAGATTTAGGGAGGCAAGGGAAAAAGGACGGAAGGGAGGGAACCGCATGTGGAAGAGAGGCTCCCGCGAGGGCTGCGGAGAGCTGATGGAGGCAGGAAAGGAAAGCACAGGAAAAGGTGGGTTCTCCCAAGCTGGTCAGCAAATATTACCTCAGAAGTTAATTGCAGCTGAAGAAATGCATGCACAGGGCTGCTGCATGCTTTAACCCGTGAAACAGTCACGCTCCTTTTGCAAAATTGTTGCTGCTTTGTTCAGAGGAGCTGGTTCTGAGTCATTTTAATCAGTTGCTGTCTCAGGTTTATTGCAGTAAACTGAATACAAGTACTAAATTTAGTTGTTTTAACTACAAAGTGAGAGGAGAGAGATGCTAAAGCTCTTGACTTCAACCTACAAACAATAAAACTGCATAGTTCATCTACAGAGGGAGAAGACAAAACCCAATTCAGTTACTGTGATGTGTTTTTTAAATTGTTTTAAGATTCAGAGCTAGAAATGCCTAACTTGATCCTGCTTGGATCAAGTAAAAAAATCCACAAGCGGTTGCCTGAATTCCCTACAGAAAGCAAAACCCTAAGGAACCCTCAGGGCAGACTGGGAGCAAACATGGCAGCAGGCAGAAAGCTAACCCCTGTGGGCAGAGGAGCTCAGGGCCGTACTATTTTTTTTAGCAACTCCTTCACACCCTGGGCCTGAGCACAGGAGCTCAGTTCAACAACTCAACTGTTAGGACAGTCCCTGGTGCTCCCCTGGCATGGGACAACTTGCCTTCTCCCAGATTATCCTAATCACTGCCCAGGAGGCAGCACAGGCCAGCAGCCATTTCCAGTGGGCATTCTGGACGTAGCAAACGTAATCTGGAGGACAGGGGAATGTAACGCTGTAGACATGGGCCAGATACCGCCCAGTCAGCCTCAGCCTACGTGCCCTGGCATGGCTGAGCTGACTAGCACCGATGCTGCTCAGGATTCCTGCTTCATATGTCTCTCTTCACTCCATGCAAACCTGTCCTCAAACCACTGGCAAATTACACCTTTTTCCATTGCAGAATTTTCAGCAATATCATCAGGAATATCCTAGCTGCGGGTGAAGAGCTCCTCCATCTTGTGGCTGTCTTCCATGCCTTTTCCTTCACAGGATTAGCCTCTTTTGGATCTAGTATTCTTGCTTCTTTCATTCCTGAAGGCATTCCAGGTGGAGAAACCCCTGCAATCGTGACTAGCCACACAGTAATATTTTGTAATTTACCAGGACAATCCTTTAGAAGGCAGCAGTGTTAAAAGATACTGCACCTCTAAAAACCCAAGTGTATTGTCAAAGCACCATGGTAGCCTACTGAGCACTTAAATACATGTTTCTGCAAGCATTGAGATAGATGGATTTAGAGAAGAGTGATAAAGAGCGGTATTGCGCTCACTTTAAGGAGAACAATAGACTAAGATAAGTCAATGTACCTAATATTGTCCCTACAATGTGGAGTAAAATACATATCTGATTTCCACTTATAAAGGAATTAAAACATTTTAACAAAGGGATATTCTAATGATTGTGGCTTACCAGAAAAAAAGAAAAAGAAAAAAAAGAGATGCTAACTTTAAAAAAAATAGTTTGGCTATGACAGCCTCGTGACTTACAAGTCACTGTACACTTACACTGCCAAGAAAAATGAAATAGAGCTAGAAATGTGCCACCACTACAAAAATGAGTACACTCTATTCATTCCCTGCTGCACAGCTGATGTCAAAGGACCATCTTACTCAATATTAGGAGTGCTTGTTCTTACAGGACCTGTATATTCTGTCCAAAGCTGAAAAGACTTATACAAACGTCCAGGAAAACTTGCAGAGTAACTGGTGACAATCCACTGGAATAACAATACTCTAAACTATCAAGAAGACCAGTGAGAAAAGAGGAGAAGATATACCCCTCAAAAACATATTTCAAATGAATTTCAACAATGCATCCCACAAACGTAACCTAATTTTGTGCACCTCTTATTCTAGGAAGAACTAGGCCTGGGGAAAAAAAAAAGAAAGGAGGAAGGGTGTTAAAAGCTGAAAACTTCATCAGAAATACGTATTATGGCTTTTGAAATGTCCCTGATTTGGACAAGAAAAAAAGCAGTCTTTCTGTTGTTAAGAATCCCAGACATTGCCCAAGATCACCCTGCTAACACAGAAAGCAAGCTTTTGCTCATGAGAATCATATAGCAGAGAAACGCAAAGTTTGTAGACCATCATTGTACCCACAAAAGCTGAAGAGCAGAATTGGCAAATGAGTTGCCCACCAGCCATGAAAGAGCAACTCAGACACAGCCTTGAAGGCGAGGAAGAGAATCAGCACAACTGGGATGTTTCCTCCAGGCAAAAGGAACCAGACCATTATGAGCTTCCACGTGGATAATCACCAGCAATACAAAACCAGAAAAAAGACCCTAGTTTAGCATTTTACCCCTAAGGCCAGTACATTTAACTGGATATCTGGTGGTTCAGCAGCACAGCAGCAGTTCTGGGCCAAATCCAAGTCACAGCCTTCTGGCCCAGGAGGAAAGGTTGTTACCAAATGAAGCGTGCTGACAACATATGGAGGCCTGTGCTACTGGAGCAGTTTCATCCTCATCCAGAAAGAAAAAAACCTGTAAGATTATGCCAAACACATGATTCAATTTAGGTCAGAGCTCTGCTGCTCAAAGCACCCTGGCCACTGATACTGCTTGGAATGGACTGGCTTGTTTCAGTGCTGACTTTACATCTTTTCAAAGGTTTTTCACAGGGAAAGGATCATGGATTTTTTTTTTTTTTAACCTGAATTTACTATGCATTAGGGAGCAGTTTACTACTAAACATATTTATCAAGTCTGCATCACCTTTTTTATTCATCCCCATCCCAAAGTAACTTCAAGCACATCTGAAGCACTAAAGCTGTGAGGCCTGCAAGCTCCCTCTTTAAAGTGTGTAAGGACCTAACATTTTAATGGGCATAGAAGACACCCTAAAATGGTCACCCAAGAAATGCCCATCCACTGACAGTTAAGCTCCTGCCTTTGGCCTCTTACCTAGACACCTATTACTAGATGGCATAAAGCTGGGATATGATGCTTGTGTCTGATCTGATCTCCATTGATGTGAATTGGAAATATCTTCCATGGAAGCAGGGTGAGTTACAGGAGAATAGAGACAATGTAAAATCAGATTCAGGATTCTCATTTCCACTTTCATGTTTCTGCCTCAACACTGTACATGTGAGATTTATAAAAATAATAATAAATACATATGGAGATTTTTTTTTTATAGACAGCCAACCACTGGTTTAGAGTGAAAAACATCTGACTGCATAACATCTCATGCTGCAGCTCTGTACCAGTAAAGACCATACTTCTTATATAAATGAAGTTATTCTGATTCAGTAAAGAATTCTGTTCTCAAAAGGAATGGAAGAAATAAACTAAATGAGGATTAAATACCAGATCTTGTCATCCTTCAATGCATTAAAAGACCAAAATAATCAAGACTTTCAAATGCTATGTCAAACTGAGCAGAGCAGAAAAGCAAACTTCTTGCTTGTTTTGGCACGGCAAATTCTTTACAGCTTATACTTGTTGTAAATCGGAAAATACAACATTGCATTTGCTAACCCAATAGATCATTTTCCTATCCAAAAAAGGACAGCTTCTTTTGTAAACTTACCAACTAAGGACCATTTTGTGGGAAGTACTGCTTTATTTAACTTCTCATTGTAAATAGTTATTTAACTTTTTTAAACTCTTCTTCAACAAAAGAATGATTTTGATGCTGAGTAATAAAGCGCATGCTTTGTCAAAAGAATAATATTTAAAGTTTTCTGGTGATATGTAAAGGATTAAATGCTTCAAGTAAAAAGGACAATATCTGGACACCAACAATTACATATGATTATAATAGCAGGAGCAAAGTCCTAATGGCGCTTCCAGTATTAGTCATTGTAGTTGACCTGACTTAGTGTGGAAGACTCCAGCTTAGAGCCTGGAGTGAATGATCCCCTTGGCAATGATTCAAGGTAATTGGGAAACACCAAGAGAGGGCTCTGGCTTGTTACTATCAGTTACTGCCTATTGCTATGAAGAAGCATTTTGAAAGCACTGTCTGGGTCCAAGACAAAGAACATTCAGTAGTGGCTGGTGACTGTGGGTGGCTGAAACAATTCAGTTGAGTCACTCAGTGCTTACTGAAGATCAAAAACAGCTAAGCCTTTTCTACATGGGCATCTAAAGCCTGAGACACCCTAAAAAAAGTAGTGACTACTCATGATCCCAGCCACCGAGAAACTATATTTACTTCCAGGCTTCAGTAGTTAGAAATGTTTTTGGGAATTAAGTGAGAAATTCCATCTTGAAGTGAAGAAAATAACTGTCTGAAAATTACTGGACAGGTAAGCAAACCCAGATACTAACATCAGCAAGCTTTGATTCAATTATTGTTTCTCAAGCTGTTATTGCTTATGCCTTAGCGGCATTTAGCGTGTGACACCCTCAGATAAGGGAAGAGGAAACAAAAGCCTATTTGTGAACATCATGATTGAAATGTTGGCTCTTTTGGTCTTTACGCTGCTGTAACTTTACCTCCTTGTAGACATAAGTGAGCTCAGAAGCAGTTCCAGACACTGTAAAGACCAGTGTACTCCAGAGCAGCACATCCAATGGACCCTGGTGGCTTTATGTTTTGTGGTGGGACCCTGCAGTGTCCAGTGAAGTGCCTACTGTAGCTGAAACTGTTATCAAGGCATTCACAATGTCCCCCTGTCACTTGGATTTCCTGAGGAATGCACTAAAGAGGCACTACAAACTCTCTTCCCTCTACCGAGGCACCTCCTTCATGAACTGCAGAGGCCTCTCCTCTGTGAAATTCAGCTGAAAGTGTTCGATGTTATAAAATGTTGGGATGAGAGGACAGTGACATAGAACAGCCTTATTTGTTTAGAAAACTAGGCTAAAAACTAAATAACAAAGGCACTACCAGCCATACCTGATTATACCAAGAGGATCTAAATCTTCTTCCTCCTCTTCCTCTTCTTTTTGCTCCCCTTTTTTGGCATTTTCCACTGATGAAAGCTGTGAGATTAAGTCAGGTGTATTCTCCTCTTTGAAAAAATCCAATGCCTCATTTTCTTCATCTTCTTTCTCCTTGTCATCAGGAATGTTTTTACCCTTGAAGTCAATGGCACTAGTAGATTTTGTTCCTGCAAAATACAGTAACAGATGCAAGACTGAGTACACAGGATGACAACTATGTTTTATTTAATACCTCGCACCTGTTCCTGATGTTTTTGTTTAGGGAATGAAGGACACGATCAGCTTTTGTGAAACTCTTTCAATATTCCTGACTGTCCCTTCTATCCACTGATGTGTCATTATGTGTCCGATCTGTTTACTGATTTAAAGTAGTTAATTAGAGAGAGAGGAAATCAACTTTATCTGAGACATAACAGTGCATGTCTAATCTGCTTATTTATGTTCCTTTTATAGTCAATAGAAACAATAGAATTTCCACGTGGTGATCCATCCCATCCAAATAAAGTTGTTGGAGAAGGTTTCCCTCTGAAGTGTCTATTTCTCTCCACTGGCTACAGAGAGGCCGTAAATACTCTGCTTAGATGTAGGTAGCTAACTTTCACATAGCTAGCTGAGATAAAGTACACTTTTTGTTACTAATTTAATTCATGTGGGATAAAATTAGAGCATTGGACAGTATGAAAAAGTTTCCACAGCAGTTCTTCAATTTACACTCAAAAATGAAGCCTGAAGTTCTAACTCCCTTCAGTATGCAAGATCCATCCAACTGAGCAAATTCAGCAAACTGAAACATGCACTTTGACCAAGTCTTCCCACCATACTTGTTATATGCAAAGCCCAGGAGAATGAGGAAAGAACTATTCCTTGCTGTGGAGTCTCTGGATGTTCAGGAAAGCAATTTAAAATGAGACTAGCTAAAAATAGGCTAGTGAAAGCCATGATGGATAAAATTCATGGTTTCATCCTTTTGACTGTTAAAGTAACATGGCATGGGAGACTCATCTCACCCAGCTTTTCATGCTTGCATCTGCCAAATCATCCAGGGCAGACTTCATTGACTAAACGTGGGTGTCTACACTGAGCAAGTGGTCTTATGCTCCCCTTATGGGCAAGAGAGTGCTGGTCAGGGTAGGCAGTGGATGTCAGGATGCTGCTTATCTTATCCCCACAGTCATCTGTGTATTACCATGTTGATTCTCCCTAAACACCCCTGAATATATCGACTACGTCTCTAGCATCTGTAAGGAAAGCGTACACAACTAGCTTGAGGAGCTGCAGTGTATGTACTGAATTCCACCCGGTTTGGTAGGGTGAGACTTATATTATTCTAAGGCAGATCTCGATGAACAGGTCACATTACTTAATCTGTCCACAGTCTGTCTGGACAGTATAGAGACAGTCCAGACTAATTCAGCTGTAGACACGCGCACAATGGTTAGGTTAATCAGCATGCAAAGGTTAATCAACATGAATTCTGAATTCTCTGTGCGAGGGGTCTACTTTCAAGACAACACTGCCAGGGAAAAAAGAAAAAAAAAATCCAAAACCTTGTTAGCAAAAGAATTTTGCCAAATATTATGCAATTTTGCCCCCCTTGACTTTAGGAAGATGCCAGTCTCACAGAACTTGAATCTGGCCACACTTGACACTTTTGCAAAATCAGCTGTTCACACATGGTGACTTGCTAGCACCTTGCAACTTCACTTCCTTAAAACTAACACTACACTGAGAATCCTGCACAGCACCAGGCTGAAGTATTCTCTGCTCAGCAGCTCTCAGCTGAATTAAGAGCAGAGAGCCCATCTGTTCTATTCATTCCATGACTCCCTGCTATGCCCAAAGAACATAAGAAAGGAACTATATGAATTACTGGAAGAGGCAACAAGAGCTGGACAGGAGGCTAAGGAAAATTAAAAAAAAAAAAAAAAAAAAAAAAAAGGACACTA